GAAAAGATTAAGCTACACATGTAGTACAACCTTGTGTTTCTAAATTAACACAAGTGAAAACAACCTCTTTATTTCTCTTCCATGTCTCATCAGAAAGGGTGGGGTACATACCTTGTGAAAATTAAACTGAGGTCTTCAATTTCTGTTTCCATTAATAGGATACTTAATACTTTTCGTAAAAAGTGGACTCTGGGTTTGTCCAATTCACTGAATTCAACTACCTAATGGTCAGGACATAGAGAAAAATAGTTACACTGATTTAGCCAACTTTTTCAATGATTTGTAAATATAGTTAATTAGAGTAAAAATTAATCTCTCCCACTCCCCCACTCTACCACTGATTTAAGAAGCTATTTCCAGAGCTAAGAAATGAGCACCTGTTGGCAAGGATGTGGGCCTTGGGAATCCCTACACACTGCTGGCAGAGGTGTGGCCGGCCACAATCACCGTTGGGAACAACTCAGCAGTGTAAGTGGAATTCCCGGGGCATACACCTTGTGAATCAGAAATTCAGTATCTAGAACTGAACCATAAATTACCCCCATTCCCAAAAGTACCCATCCCCTAATTAAAACTATATATATAAAAAATTTACTTTTAGAAGACTAATATATGTATCTCTCTCTCCTAGAAAACTATCAAAAAATCAGAAATAACTTAAACACGGATCAGTGGGATAAATAAGTATGTAAACTGAGGCATACGTATACAGTAGGATGCTACCCAGAACAGACTCACGGGCGCCAGCATGGACCCACTTCAATCTTAGCTGAATGTCAGCGAGCTCGAGGAGGGGACTAAATGCATGGTGACGGGAAGGATACCCACAGGGAGGTCCGCAGCCAAACACCATCACAGGCGCTTGCAGACCCGGGGCCTGTGAGACCACAAAGCACGGCCGAAACACAGAGATACTGGGAATGAGAGCAGCCCGGGGGGCGGGGCGGGGCTGGGGCATCTCTAGAGCTCTACGCCAAAGGACGCACTCCTGCCACACCTCTCCCGCTCATCCGCGGTAGTATCCATGCTGTTCCACGATGAGCACGATGCCTGAGTGAGCAAAAGGCAAGGCAGGGGAGCGGAGGGGGAGCAATGCCTCTGCCATGATCCAAGTTATTCCAGTTGTCAGGATTTGGCGTAAGGCTCGGTGCCCTCATTTTCAGTACAGTGGCCAAACTTGGACACTTGGACACAGCAAGGGACGCAGGGTGAACTGGAGCGGGCATGCTGATGAACTGCACGGGACACACAGAAACACACGGGAAGCTGAGGCTGCAGCTGTCTTGTGGGTCCAGGCCACTGCAGTCAACGCCCCTCAACTCGCTCTGCTTTTCACTTCCCATTGCCCCCTAGGTGATCCAAATTTTTTAGGCTATTCAGAGTCTGTTGGTCCTACCATCCAAGCCTTACTGGCCCACATCAAACCCCAACTTATAAGATGCCTAGGTTTCAGCCGGGCACAGTGGCTCACGCCTGTAGTATTAGCACTTTGGGAGGCTGAGGAAGGCAGATCACAAGGTCAGGAGTTCCAGACCAGCCTGGACAACACAGTGAAATCCCGTCTCTACTAAAAATACAAAAATTAGCTGGGTGTGGTGGCAGGCGCCTGTAGTCCCAGCTACTTGGGAGGCTGAGGCAGGAGAATCGCTTGAATCTGGGAGGTGGAGGTTGCAGTGAGCTGAGATCGTACCACTGCACTGCCTGGGTGACAGAGCAACACTCCATTTTGGGGAAAAAGAAAAAAGATGTCTATGTTTCATGGTTCACTGCAAAGTCCCAAAACACAGCAGGGCAGGAGAAAGCCTACAGTTTTAAAACAACTTACATCGAAGTGAGCAAACTCACCTCACCTCTAGGGACACCAGGCCCTACTTCGTCCACTCTTCTCCTCACTAACAGTGACTAGTTCAGGATTTTATAATTAGGACCAGCAAATTAACCTCAAACCCCAAAACAGATTCACTCAGCTTAGCAAAAGAACTGCAGCGGTGCCTTCATTTACCAGATCAATTTGTAGCGCCTGTTAGTCTGGCCATTTTCTGTGCTGGCTACGATAACGCAGGCACTTTTCAGATGAATCAGAATCGAAGAAAACATGCTGGTACAATAGGACCTGATGTAAACAATCACACTCCCATTTCCACTGCTTTCAATATTTTCACACATTACACCAACCTTTAAGATGGAAAGGGAAAGAGATTTTGTCTTCAACAAGTGGGCCACCAGATGAACCAAATTAGAGAAATTCGTAGCTGGCAAGTTTTCCAAGTCCCGAAATTTGTCCCATATGCTGAACTGGAAAGTCATCTAGTATCATGGTTAAAAGGAGAAAAAAGGTAAATGGCCACAGATTATTATAATACATCACTAAGAACATAACCTAAAGGTATTTTCTTATTATCTTATTTTGAATATTCTAAACATCAAGACTTTTAGTGGCGGCCTTACTGTCCTTTCCTATGGAGCATAGTCCCAAACAGCTTCACAAGAATCTCCTTCTGGTGCAGTTTTCCCCCCAAATCAGCAGATACCAACAGAACATTCTAAGGAAAAGGCTACAGCAAGTGACATCAGAAAAGACTGGTGCACTGTGAACCGGCGAGGTGCTCCCGCTGGCCTGGCCACACACTGCCTGCACTGTGGCAGGAGCAGGCGACATGAGGACATATTGGACCCTTGACATTCCCCTCTAGCCCTCCCACTTCCGCTCCCAGTGAACGTGGCCTGGCAGCCAGCATGGACCATGTGACTGGGCTATCAGGGGCCTCCTGACGTGGGGAACTCCTTTGCAGGTGGGTTGAGCCAGGCAGCATGTGTAGAAAAAACAGTAGAGCAGATTAACTGGTGCCTCCGCACTAAGCTACCTGAAATCTCCTTTCATATTCACAGAATTTGCTAGCCAGGAAAGCATAGAAGGGATTGTAGGTTTTCTCCTGAAGGCAGCAATCCATGAGAACGTGAATGATTTCTCTCTCCTGCTGATCCTTAAGTCCAAGCCTAGAAAACAGAGAACAGCAATGACTGGAACATCACTCGACCTCCAAAGTTTAAAGGCTGATACCTGTCAGGGGAACTCCTTCCCGCCTGGAAAGGTCTGGTGAGGGGCGAGCCAGGTGGACGCGGCGGCAGACACCAGCTACGGGCCCAGCCCCATCACAACCTCTCCGGTCCTCAGCTTATCCTACAATGTGACAAAATGTCAGAGGAGACAAGACCATCTAGGGTCCCCCGCCAGCTGCAAAAGTCGACAGCTGTGCCCGGCTGACAATAAACGGCCTCAATCATGTGCGCCCTCAGAGCTGGTTCCTGCTATGGCAATGACTTCAGTTTCTTTCTTTCTTTTTTTTTTTTTGAGACAGTCTTGCTCTGTCACCCAGGCTGGAGTCTAAGTGGCGTGACCTCGGCTCACGACAACCTCCACCTCTCAGGTTCAAGCGATTCTTGTGCCTCAGCCTCCCGAGTAGCTAGGATTACAGATGCCACCACCGCCCTCAGCTAATTTTTGTATTTTTAGTAGAGATGGGGTTTTGCCATGTTGGCCAGGCTGCTCTTGAACTCCTGACCTCAGGTGATCCACCCACCTTGGCCTCCCAAAGTACTGGGATTACAGGCGTGAGCCAGGGCGCCCGCCATCGTTTGTAAAACTTGAGTTAGAGCTCACACGCAGTAAAACCTATCCTTTGCAGTGTAGAGTCCTGTGAGTGTGGATAAGCCCATATAGTCATGTCACCGCCGGCACTGCCGAAACAGAACTCTCCATCGCAC